TTACTACCCTTATTCCTTTCATTAACCTCTGTTACTTTGGAGCCTTCCACTGGCTGGTCCAATGGTTAGAAGACAGATTCTCCTCTCATTCTTCTTCTCTCTGCTTTTATTCTTTACTTCCTCAACAATGCCTGGATCCTTACTAGTGTCTTCCCCTAAGTTACATAAGGACACCAGGGTTGAGGATGCATGATCCCTGCCTTCGAGGATCTTACAGGCTGAAGAAAGAGACGGACACAGCTACCAGGTGGTAAGAGAGAACAAGAGAATGGGGCGAGGTGCTGTGGGAGCCCCAAGGAGAGCCAATGGCTTGTTTGTGGGAGCCAAGGAAAGGTTCACTGGGGTGGCTCTTGAAGGACGAGGAGGAGTCGTTGAGGTGGCAATGTGGTAATGAGAAAAAGCATCTCAGCAGAAACAGTATGTGCAGAGGCACAGGGGCATAAAAATGTATCTCTTTTATGGGGGTCATGTGACCAGGCTTGCATTTCAAAGACCTCACCTTGACTGTTAAGAAGAGGTTGGATGGGGCAACAGTGGAGCAGAGAGACCAGTGAGCAGGAGGCTGATGCAGTCTCCACAGGAAATACACACAAAGAGTGGGCTGGGGCAGTGGAGCGGGCCTACAGAGGTAGGGACAGAGCTGAGGCACATTAGCAAGGTCAGGAATTCTTACCATTGTATTTGAGGGGGGAGAGCCAGAGGGGGAGTCCAGGAGGGGCGATGCTGGGATTCTCTCCCAGAAATGGGAGCTGTAGCACGTAGCTCAGCAATGAGGCTTTGCTATTCACGGAGCACCTGCCAGAGCAGGAGACTTGCAGAGGCTGGGCGTCGAGCATGAGGATGGAAAAAGGACTGGGCTCTGCTGGGGACGCAGATATGGGAGGGTCTTCCCCTATCCTCCCATCCCACCACCATCAAGAGGAGGAAGGGCAGAGAAAAGGGAGGGGAGGCAGGTTCCCGGACACAGAGTCAGCATGTGATGAGCGCCCTACCTGGGTGGCTCTGAAAGCAGTGCCGTAAATCTCACCAAGACCCGCCAGAGAGGCTGGTCTTCCACGACGGGTCGGCCTCCTCTGCCCAAGTGGACGGGTTATGCTCCTTTATCCTTCTCAGACTCAGCGGAGGGAAGGGGATCCTCTGTTAACAGCAAAAGTATTTCATTACTGTACCACTGAGCACTTCCTCCCGCTGGGTACCACACTGAGCCCCCGACTTGTATGATCTCACTCAATCTCCACAAAAACCCAGTGAGCTGGGTACCGATTTTCCCTGATGAGGAAATCGAAGCATAGTGAAGGAAAGCCCACCTGGCCAGGGTCGCACAGTTGGTAAATGATGGAGCTGGGACAGGAGCCGGGAGGTCTGGATCCGGACCATGTGCGCTCAGCAGGGTGCCCTTCTAGGGAGCTGGAGGACACGCCTGCTCCTGGCTGGGTCCCCACCGTGTCCAGCTGGGCTGGTGAGTCTCGGGATGGGCTGCTGCCCGAGCGCCACTCTATGGCCCTCCTCAAGCCAGACCCACCTTCTCTTTCCCTCCCACCGGATGACATTGGTCTGTTGTCGCGAATAGCCCTGAGGTCCAGAGGCACGAACGCTCACAACTTCCTGTCCAGATCCAAATGTCCTTCCTCCAGGAAGTTTTCTTGGATTCCCCCCTTTTATAAGGCCTCACAGTACCAGGTACCTCTTTTCATATCACTCCCCACAGTTGCAAATGTACCTCTATTTGTACGGACCTGTCCAGGTGTGAGGTCACCTGCACCCACATTCAGCCAGTCCCCACAGACCCAAGTGCTCTTGTCCGCTGTCTATAGTGCATCCCTTTGCTCAAGACCAGACCTGCTGCTGCCCTGGGATGCTGGGGTGCTCGTCACTCCTCGGCCTTTTCACTGCCCCCTCTGCCCTGGATCTTTTTCTTTTCTGTCCTAGAGAAGTCCCGGTGTGTCTCAGCCGGTTGTACACTCCCCAACAGGGCAAACCCCAGATTCTGTTTTGTGAGAGCCAGGCCCCTGCTTGATCTGGCCTTTCTCTACGTCTCAGGGTGCTTCTGTCATGATGCCGCCTTGTTCCAGATCCTCATCTGTAAATGGCCTGATGACAACCCCTAACTAATAGGAGGATGAAAAGCTCTAGTGGATGGCAAGCATTTAACATAGTTCCTGACACAAGGTACATTTTTAAATAATGTTAGGGATAATTAGTATTCCTGAGGAGGTGGAGGAATCTTGGTGGGCTGCACAGAGGAGGTGGCATTGGAGCAAGCCCTTGAAGGGTGGAGAGGAGGTGGACAAACGGTATTGTGGGAACAAGCAGGCCGGAGGAACAGCACAAGCAAAGGCATGTGGAAGTTGGTGCTCATGGCCGGGGTGGCTCAGACTGCCTGGGCCCGGCGGTTGTGGATGAGACTAGGAGAGGATAAAATCAGGAAATGCAAAGCTGACCTGAGTTCGGTCTGTGGTCTGTAGACAGTGGGTGGCCATGGGAGATACTTGGAGGAAGTGATTAACTCAGTCACCATCATCTTGCCAATCTTTTGCATCAGCTCCTGAATTCCAGCCTCCTCTCTGATCCCATAAGGGCTTTTAGAAACCATTCCTCTGCCTTAGCCTCACGTCTTCACTGGCTCCCACTGCTCCTCAGGCAATAACCAACCTCCTCCCTGCATGGGCGGAGCCCTGTGTGGCCTGGCTCCACCCTCTTCTTGCTCATTCTCAGCTCCATCCACACTGGCCTCTACCTAGTCCCTCCTGCTTCCCTCAGACAATGATGTATTGAGCAGCTACATGCTTGCCATGCCGGGTCTCCTTGGGGTCTTTGCACATGCTTTTCTCTCTCCCTGCAATACTCTTCTTCCTTTTGAAAAAGGTCTATTTAAGTCTTACTCAGCCTTCAGTCCTGGCTGGTGTGGCTCAGTGGATTGAGTGCTAGCCTGAGAACCAAAGGGTCACTGGTTTGATTCCCAGTCAGGGCACAAGCCTGTGTTGTAGGCCAGGTCCTCAGTAGGTGGTGTGCAAGAGGCAACCACACATTGATGTTTCTCTCCCTCTCTTGCTCCCTCCCTCCCCCTCTCTAAAAATAAATAAAATCTTTTAAAAAAGTCTTACTCAGCCTTCACATCTTAGTCTAAATGTCCTTCCTCCAGGAAGTTTTCTTGGATTCCCCCCTTTTATAAGGCCTCACAGTACCAGGTACCTCTTTTCATATCACTCCCCATAGTTGCAAATGTACCTCTATTTGTGTGGTCACAGTGGAGGCCAGCCTCCCTACCAGGCCAGAGTCTCTGTGGGCTAGGGCCCGGAAATCCCTTGCACACTGCTGCATGCAGAGGCCTAGCCCAGGGCCTGGTGTAACTATCTGTGGAGTGAAATGTGGTTTGGGGGATAGAATGGAGAAGAAGAGAGCCTGGGGCTGGGGGATTTTCAGGAGGCAATTGTCATGGACTGCGTGAGAAGTGGCGCCTGGAAGGAGGGCAGGTGCAAAGGACCTAGAGAGGGGAGTGGAGATGAAATTGACCAAGAACTGAAACTGATTAGTCGGGTGGGGAGGGAGAGGACTTGTGAGGAAGCAGGAGGACTCCAGGCTGTTGCCAATAATGGGGGCTCGGGCAAGTGCCAGGCCAGGAGCAGACCTGGGCCAGACCAGAAGCCAGAAGCTATGGTTTGGGGCACGGCGAGTTTGGGTGGCCCTGAGACAGGAGACCGGGGCTGGCCTGGAAGGGAACCATGGGGTAAGGGTAGGAGTGGGGTTGGTTGGAATTCTGAGAGGTGAAGGGGACGGGACTTTGGGGAGGGGGTGCCCACATGCAGAGCACAGAGAGGGGCTGGGTGGCCTCTCTGAACTTCAACTGCTTCAAAAGTGGGCAACACTGATACCGATGCACACTGGGTCACTCCCTGCTCTCCTGTGCACTTTATCTCAGACGTGTTCACAACAGTTAAAGCAGTAAAAAAAAGTGGGCAACACTGCCAACCTCATAGGATGGCTTGAGGCTAAAAGATAACTTTGGTACAGTCCTGAGCAAGCCACCTGGTACAAAATGAGGACACAATAAGTCATTATTGTCATCATCAACGTCATCATCATCAAAGTACTTGACTAGATTTCCATTCTGAACTCAGGGGTCTCAAATGATCAGAAAATGAATACCCTGAGGCAGTCACACCTTTCACTGGCCCCTGCCTGCGCCTGTTCTAGCGGCCCAGGAAACACCAGGAGCGCCAGAACTCAAGTTCACAGGCCAGCCCTTGCCAGCGAGTTGACGAGTGCACCATCCCTGGCAGGGGCACAGGGCCACCATGGGATCACCTGGGACACACCACCTACTGAGCCCCCTGGGGCCTCTGAGGACGTCTTCTGTCCTTCGATGCCTCACCGCCCCCCTCACCCCCCCGTTTCACCACATTGCACAGGGCTGAGAAAACCCAAGCTCACTAAGGAGTGAAGTGTCAGGTGGGGCCCCTGTGAAGCCAGGGGTGGCTCCCCACCCCGCAGGCCCAGCCTTCCTGGTTCAAAACCAAGACAGCTGCCTTTCTGGCATAACCTGGGAGGGGGCTTGGCTGAGCAGGAGCATGGTTCCTGGGTAGGGAGGACCAGGGACTTTTTTTCTTTTATGGCTAGAGAGGTCACAGAGAAAAGGAGGCACAGGGACAGCCATAGCATCTGGGTGCAGCCACAGCAGTGAGCCCGGGCCCGGGGTCTGCAGAGACCTGGCTCACCTGCTCCCACCAGCTCAGTGTAGCCTGGGCTCGGTCCACCCTCTCAGGCCCTCGGTCTCCACTGTTCCACCCTGTGGTTCTGCGATTCTGCATTTCTCGGTTCTGCTTCCAGCTGTCCTCAGCCGGCCAAGGGCAGGCTTGGTTGGTGTCCCTGCCCCTTGAGTCCAGGCGTCAGGAGTGCCGGCTGCAGTGGGCACCGGGTATGTCCTGGAGGCCCAGGCCAGGGCCCCCCACAGGGCTGCTGAGGACAGCCTTCCTGAGGTCTCTGCCACCCTCTCTCTGCAGTCTCGAGGTAGCGTGCAACAGGGGGACCTGGACGGGGCCCGGAGGCTGGGCCGCCTGGCCCGGATGCTCAGCATCAGCTTCATCATCATAGGGATCATCATCATCATTGTGGCCGTGACTGTCAACTTTGCAGGTGAGGCCCAGCCACATGCCAGCTTGCTCGCTGTGAAGACAGCCAAGGACGCAGCCTGTGCCCTGGGGCAGGGGTGGTGGAAGGAAGGGACGAGCCCGTAGGGGCCACAGCCTATCCTCTCACTCTGGAAAAACAACCCAGTCCCCAGCAGTGACCAGCTGAGTAGGCCTGGCTATCTGACTCACCTTTTGCCCAGAAAGCAGATTAAGGGGAAAGGGTGGGGAAAGAGCACAGGCCTAGGAGTCAGAGGCTCTGAGGGCCCCAGGCCAGTGTCTGTCTAGTCGGACCAAGGGCTTTTCAGGTCTAAAGCGGTAGGAAGAAGCCCCCAGCTCACCTGAGGTAATGGATATCACTGTCTTTGTAAACTGCGGCTTGCCACACAAGTGTCCATGCTGAGACAGCCAGGACAGGCCAGAGGCGAGCAATGCATGTGGCGAAAGTCAGAAAGTAACACTTCTGTGAGCACACAGAGGTGGCCCAAGGAAGTTATCCAAGCAGGGAACCACTTTCCAGGGTGACTCCAAGCTGCTCACAGGCCCATGAGCTTCAAGAGTCTCTGGGCTACATAGCCAACGTGGCCCACATCCCTCTCTTCACACACTCACATCGGGAAGCCCCCAGGGACCTCTGCCCCTTGCAGTGACCATGCTAAGCTTTCCCCCAAAGACCTTGCTTTGCCAAATGTGCTCCATGGACCAGCGGCTGTGGCTGCTGACCCCAGGAACGTGTCAGAAATGTGGAATCTCGGGCCCCACCCCAGACCCACTGAATCAGAATCCTCATTTTACTGAGATTTCCAGCCCAATCATTAAGTTTTGGAGGCACTGGTCTAGGCTACAGAGTGTTCAACACGGGGTAGAAAGCCTGGGGTTCTACCATGGGGTCCTGGGCAGCCCCGGCCCCTGAGGAAGGGGAAGAGGTCAGGTTTGTAATCAGCTGGCCTGGGTTCGCAAGCCCCACCCTCCTGCGTGGACCGAAGCACGCTCCACAGTCTCTCTGAGTGCGACAGACATGCGGGTGCATAAGAGGCAGGAGCCCACTTGCCCAGGGCGTTAGCCTCAGTGTCCTTTGTCCTACTTCTGCTTGTCATCCTAGCCACCACTCTTCATTGGCACATGACAACTACTGAACCCACAGCGGTCAAGGGAACTGGTTAGCTTTCACTAAGAAATTCAAGCATCAGTGGTTCTACGATCAGGCGTCACAGGCCCAGCTCCTTGCCAATCATCCAGGCCACAGCCCTCTCACTGGCAGGAGTGCAGCCCCACCACGAGCCCCCGACCACTCCCTGATCCCCATTGCCATTTCCCACAGGAAACAAACACCCAAACCCTCCACACGGGGACCCGAAGACCCGAGTTCTGGGCTGTGCTCTGCCTTCACTGTTCTTTCCCTTACAGTTCAGAAGAAATAGAAGGAACCAGGCCTCTGCGCTAGCAGAGCGAACCAGCTGGAGTGCTCCCAACCCACACCCCACATACCGCGGAGGACAGGATGTGAGTGCCAAGGACCCACCTGTCCCCAAGTTCCAAAAGCACACTCTTGGAAGGAAACTCCCAAGTCACTCCATCATCTGTCCATATCAGATGGGAAAAGCCAGAGGAAGGAAGGAAGGAAAATTTACTGTGAAACCGCTGAGAAATGTGTCTAACCTCATGGACACAGCCCGACGCTCTGACTCCAGCATTCTGGCTTTTCCTCATCCCCACACTTTCCTGGTACCTACTGAGTAGCACATACTGCCTGGGCAGGAGAAACCAGCCCCATGAACAAACAGGTGAACTGCAGTGGGGAGCAGGGCAGCACGCTCCCTGCATGACCAGGAGCAAAGACGTGGGACTTTCTTTATCTTTGTATTTTCCTGGAGGAAGGGTAAGAAGGACTGTTTGCATGCCTTGTGCCACACGCCTGCTGCCATCCCAGCTGCGCCCTCACCGCAGAAGCCGAGAGCCGGAGCTGACACTCAGCACGTGCCCTGGGACCTCTGGCACACAGACGTGCAGCTGCCCTGGAAGGAGGCGAGGGCCACACCTAAATCCCGCATTGCAGGGTGGAGGCGGCCAGAGGATTGCTGGTGAAGAGGGGAACCGGGACAGTTCGGCCCATGGACCACCTCCCAAACTTTTCAGCCTTGGGAGCGTCTCTGCCAAGAACTACAACCCCGGGGAGTCTCCCAGGATGACCCAGCCCACCTTTTCCTCCCTCCCTGTGCGGTAGTCTGGAGCACCAACCAAGAACTCCTAGGGCCCTAACCTGCCCTGCCCTCCCCTCCCCTGCCATTGGCCAGTGAGGACCCAGGGTCCTGAGCTCTCTCCTGGCATGGTCTGGGGTCCAAACTTGGGGCCCCATGCAGAGCGGCTCAGATGGCCCCCAGCCCAGCCTCACCTGATGCTCTGAGCCTCACCCTGCGCTCCTGGCCTCTGCAAACAGCAGGGGCTTTCCCTGGAGCAGGCTTTGGGATCAGCCCTGGGACGCTTCCCCTGGGCTCCCAGGCCATTAGCAGTGTTTGTGCTCCTGTAGGGAAGTGGGCCAGATGGGTTTCATGAAAGTTTATTGTTTCTCGGTCTAGAGGATTCCAAGACTGAGGGAAGAGCTTGGCTGAAGGATCCAGTGTGGGGGAGCGGGAGGGGCCCCAGGTTTGGGAATACACCCACCTGTGGGAGGCGGGACTGGACACCATGGCTTCTGTCTAAGGACCTAATGGGATGCCTGAAAGGACCGAGCAGGGCCCTGGGCCTCCCGACTGGCTTCTGGCCCCAGACTCTGCCCCAACTTCTCTCTGGTACAGGCTCCGTCCACAGGGCCTCCCTGTGCCCACCTTCCCCGTTGGTTTGGCTCCCAGACTCTCGAAGGGCTGCTCCAGGCTTCCCCGCCCCTGGAGGCCCTGCCCAGCAGTTGAGGTTGCTGCGCTCAGCGGCAGGGCAGGTTCCCAGCCCCGGGCAGACTGGCCCCAGGTTGGCTGAGCATGTTTCCCCCTTGGGGTCCCTACTAGTCTCTCCCACCTTCTGCGTAGGCCCCTGGGAGGGTGTCTGTTAGCACTGAGCCTCTGTCTGCCAGGCACTCCATGTCCTCAGTGCAGTCCAAGCCTCAGCGACCACCAGGAGGGGAGGGGAGCAGAGGGATCCCTCTGGGGCAGGCTCTCCTGAGTCAGTGCCCCGCCCCCCCCAGGGAATAAACTCCAGCCTCCACACACCCTAAAGGAGGGGCTAGTTGGATTTGCTTTATGGCAACTTTGAGGCCAAAGTAAAGATGCCCTGTTTGTTGGGGGAGTCTGGGGGTGACCCAGGGTATTTGTGTCATTTACAAGGTCAGGTCAGGCCAGGGGAGATGGGGGGTCATAGGCCAAAGCTTTGGAAGGAGGGGTCATCAGTCACAGGTCTCCCAGCTGGCCCCTGGGGTCCTCAGCTGCAGCATTTGAGGGAGAAGAAAGGCACCAGGGGAGACGATGGCAGAGGTGGGGCTCCGTATACAGCGTGTGCACAGGGCCCAGAACACACCCAGACATGCCCCGTCCCTGCAGTCCTGTGCAGACTCTGCCATGCACGCACTCACACGCATGTGCACGCTCATTTGTTCACACGTAAAACCCAGCTCAGGTGAGAAAGAAGCCACAGGAACAGGCACAGCTGGAACCTTCTTCCATTCAGACAAGAACAAATTGAGAGAGTCTTCTAGTCATCTGAGGGCGTAGCTCAGAGGTTTCCAAGGTGTGTGGAAGGCGTGGAGGCCCCCAGAGACCAGCTTCTCCGTCAGAGGAGAGCACGGGGCCTAAGGAGGAGAAACCCTTCGGGGGTAAGACAGGGAGGGAGGGTCCCCAATGCCCCCACCCACAGGTGGCCTGGCACCCCCAGGCCTCGCTGAAGCTGGAAGGAGCAGGGGCCCTGCTGCCCCAGCTCGGCTGTGGGCCCGGCCACCAGCTTCATGGACACAGTGGCCTCCTGGTGCGGTTCCGGCTCCGGGCGCTGACCCGGCCTCCCCCGGGCCCCATAGAGAGCGGAGAGGACTGCCCCTCCCCTCCGCCGGCACCACACTCTCCAGTTTGCTCCTCTGTATTTCTCAGCATGGAAAGAAATAAAGCTGACCATACATGTGCACCCCAGGTCTGTGTGTTTGTGCTGCTGGGTTGCATGGATCAAGGGGTCCCAGACAACTGCTGGGGTGGGGGGTGGGCGCTTCTCTCGGGGCTGGGCCCCAGGAAGCCTGGGCACCACAGCCAGCACCAGGCATTGCCCTGGGCAAGTCACTGGTCCTCTCTGAGCCTCAGTTTCTCTGGTGAGCAAGGCAGGTCCCATCTTTCCCAGGTGCTTCTGTCTGTACATGAACAAAGGTCTCTGAGTGGAGAGGAGGGGGCAGGAAAGCGGCACCTGCTGACAGCCTGGTGCACGCTGGGCATTTGACGCTTTGGTAAACCTACAAGGCATCCAAGCGGGTTACTAGTGTCACCTGGGGATTCGAATCGGTAAGCTGAGGCTCGGAGAGGTTCAGGGACTGGTCCCAGGTCCCACTACGCCTGGCACACAGAAGACACGGAGTGGATGCTGGCGAACTGACCCCATGCCTGCCCAGGTCAGACCCCTGCACTGGCTTCTTGCTGTCCTACTGCTGCCCAGAGAGGAAAGCCCGACAGAAGGAAGGTGACAGAGAGGCGTATGTGTGTGGGGGGGGGGGAGGGGGGGGTGACACATTTCCCAGGCTGCAGAATGAAGCAGGCAGGGGTTGCTTGACTGTGGAAGGTAGCAGGGACTTCAGAAAGGCAGGCCAAGCAGGCATGGGGTTGTGGGCAGAGCCAGCAGGATGGGCAGGCAGTGGGAAGGGAAGGAATTGCCACACAGCCATGGTGAGCTGCCAACTCTGAGGGCGAGAGGATGGGGGAAGGAGGAGCGAGGGCAGAGGGCTGGGGTGGGGCTGGAATACAGGGAGAGTCACAGGACCCAAGAGGCAGCAGAGCAGAGTGGACCAGGGTGTGGGGCCTGGGGCCAGCCTGCCTGGGTTCAAATCCTACCCGGCCATGTGTTAGTGGAGTCCCCTTGGGGAAATTCCTATAGACTAGGATAGGGGCCTGGGGAGCATGGCCCATGTTCCAGGCACCGGGCTCTGTGGTCTGTGCAAGTTATTTAATCCTCACAGCACCTTGTGAGGTGCGGCATCCCATTTTCCTGGGAAGAAAATGAAGGTTAGAGAGGCCCGGTGACTGGCTCAAGGTCATACAGCCAGGACGTGGGGAAGCAGGACAGTCCTTCTCAAATGCCTCGGTGACAGGAGCCTCCCCTGCCTTAACACGTCTGAGCTGTTCCGGGGGGTTGGCCAAGTCAGTGTCCTTCCGCTGCTCAGCCTGGCCGACGACAGTCATGTCTCTCTACAGCTTGTTTCAGTGCTGCCCTGTGGCCTGTTCGAAGGCATCTGAAGCACCGCCTGGTGACAGGGCAGCTGTGCAATGCCACCAGTTTAATGACACTCAGCTGAACTGCCACCTTCTACACACGGGCAGTACCAGGAACAATCCCAGTGCTTTACCGTCCAGCGTGGTGGCCTGAATGTCTCACTGCCCTCATCGCTCAGACACAGCCCCACTTTAGAAACCGTACCATGGGGAAGGGAGGGTAGGTGTGTCTTAGCATCAGTAAGGGAAAAGTCGGCACGTCCACAACGCAGGACATTTCAAAGGCCGGATGGCTGTGCCCTGGGAGGAGCGGCCTGCCCTCTCTAACCTTGACTCCCTACCTGCAAATGGGGTGACAATCTGCTTTGCACCCACGGGGCTGTTGGAGGCCTGATGGCACTTCCCGGAGACATGTGGGAGACAGGAATAACAACTTCTCGGGGCACAGCCCAGAGGGCACCCCAGAATCAGGGAGGTTCTGGGCCTACTGGGTGACGCTTGAGTCCCACTCCATTCCCAGCCCTCTCTGATGCAGAATAGGGCACAAGGAAGCTCTCTGGCCCGGGCCCTAAGCCTTTCCCTCATTGGCTGTCGCCTGGACAGGCCTTCCTTTCCCTGGACCTCAGTCTCCTCAGGTAAGAGTGTGAGCTGAGCCAGTCCAGTGCGGCCTTCTCCACCCTGGCTGCACGTGGGAACCACCTGGGAACTTTGAAAAATGCGGATGCCTGGCTGCCACTCCTCAAGAGAATGTGGTTTAAGCGATTAGGGGTGTGGCCAGAGCATCCAGTTTTTAAAAAGCTTTCCAGGTGATTCCAGTGGTCATTTGAGTCTGGGAGCCGCTGGGCTAGACTCTAGAATCTTGTTACTCAGAGTGTGGTCCCTGGACCATTAGCGTGGGCATCACTGGAGCTTCCAGAAACGCAGAAACGCAGGCCACACCCTGCCCTAATGTAATGACTCGGAATACCTGCCCTTTCCAGCTGGGGAAGCTCCTGGCTGGGCACCTGAAGGTCCGCTGCAGGCTCACCTGAGGCATACCGCCTCCACTGGGTCTTTGATCTCCCTTCTAAAAATCATCCATCACTTTCTTACTTACTGACTACATGGTCTATTGCAACAAACTGAAAAAAAATCTAAGCAATACTGAGAAGCAAAGAGAAGGACAAAGAGAGGCACCCACAGACGTTGAGGGGCTCTCATAGCAGAAGATGTCTGCACCCCACTTCCAGTGGTGTTTGCCAGGGAGGCCACAGCCTGTGTGTGCATGTGGAGGGTGGGGGCTGTGGGTATGCTCCCAAAGCACAGTGCCCAAGGAAGCATGGATCCCACCCCCCAACCTCTGGACCCCCACTGTGGACCCACTGGGACCTGCTCAGAGATGGAGAAAAGTCACACAGGTGTTGTAAAGCTGCTTGCATGGAAACATCTACTCACAGCCCAAACGGTCTGCGGAGGAGGAGCGGAGGGAGGGACCTTGAGAAGCTGCCAGTGTCTCTCACACTCTCGTCCCACTGCAGGACTTCCTGTGCTCAGGGTCGCCCCTGGTGCATATGCTTCCTTTGTGCTGATGACCAAATGGGTCCCTGCAGGCAGGGAGGTACTGAAATCGTTAAAAGTTCCCCCGCCTGGGTATGTGTGCTGCCTGGTGCCCTGAGGACAGATGGGTTCAGAGGGCCGGGCACAGAGGCCTGCTGAGGGGACCACCCTGGAGCTGGGCCCTGCCTGGGCTTCTGCCTCCTGCATTATTGATCTGCCCCCCAGCCACGGCCATGAATAATTCATCAGGGGAAGGAAGTGCTGAGGATCGCAAACGGGAGGCATCCAGGCTCCTCCCCAGCTCTCAGCTCAGGGCTTACTTTTCTTTGCCAAAAGGGGCTTCTGAGAGATCCTGCTGAATCTCAAGTTTCTCCTCTCCCCACATTTGGTATGGCGGCAGAAACTTAAGCTCAGCCAGCTCAGATTTCTTTCCTCTGTCCTGGGGATTACAGCAGGCTGAGGTGTCCAGGACAGGGGTGGCAACAATCTGGTTCTTACTGTCACCTCTGAGACATCCTCCTTCCATTGCCCTTAGTCCCTGCCGATGGATGCCGAGTCCACCTGCAGTCTCCTGCTTCCGCCCCAGCTCTTGCTCCACTGCTCCTCTGCCCTCTCACATGCCCAGGGATAATTCAGTTGTTTCCTCACTAACTCTATTAAGAAATATTTTTGGCTGAGGTCCTCTGACACTGGTCTTCACAAGATAGGATTGTTTTTTGTCACTTAACAAGTCCAAAGGTAGATAGCCCGGGAAGATGCAATGCCTCCATGATGTCATCATCCAGGTGCTTTCAGCCTTCTTGCTTCACCACTGTAGCCTACCGCTGCCTAATGACCACAGGATGGCTGCCACAGCACCAGCCATTCCAAGTGGCAAGGAGGATGGCAAAAAGGGCATATGAAAGCTGAGCAGGCTCCCTTCAAAGAGCTTTCATGGGAGTTCCATCTAGTGACTCCTGTTTTACATTCTGATCACAGCTGTGTCACATGGCCACTCTAGCTGCAAGGGAGGCTGGGAAATACAGTCTTCTTGCCTGGGTATACTGGTATTCCCAGGAAAATCAGAGTTCTTTTAGGCAGGAGGTAGAAATGGATACTGAATAGCAGTCCATTTTCTCCCACATCTGCTCTGTGGGGCTGCAGAAATTGTCAGGGTGTCTGTCCCGGGTGCTGTCTGCCTGGACCCACTGGTAATGCTGTCGTCTCTGGGTTCTCCTTTCTATCTGCTCAGCCAGGGAAGGGTG